TTTAGGCAGGTGTAGGTGGAATCTAAGTGATCAGCAGGACGCGCGGTGAGCCCAGCGTCCTCCTACGCCGCCATCTTCCCCTAATTTCATATTTTTAAACATTGCTATTTAATGTGGTTGGCAAATTCAGGCTGATAAAAAGTTAAGGAATAGGAACTGGTTGGTAAAAAGTTGGTAATTTATCAGTTAGCTGTCAATTTCTCCATTCATCAAATTTTAGACACCTTCTCTACGTTTTTATGTATTAGATACTCACATTTTAAAATATGTTTTGGCTATACAATAAAATAAAACTTTTGAGACAACATACCTGAGGCAATAAAAAAACAAAGGAGAGAATTACAGTGTATGATGAACTATATTTTCAAAAACAAAAATATTTTCAGTTTCTTGTGAACCTATACCAAATTTTCAAGGGCCACCTTAAACATCAAATGCCCCATGCAACTCTTGTTGGTTCCTGTACCAGAATGATTCCTGTCCCTTTTGATTCCCATATCACATCTCTTCCATGTGTATTGTGCATTCACTATCTGTTTTGCATCAGCTCTTTCTCATATACTTGTCACTATTAATACAGCTTTGAAGGCATAACTGTGGTTTAATCATATCTGTACCCTTTGCAGGGTCTATCCAGTGTCTTTTGTGGAGGATATTCAATTCGTTTAATTGACAGAAATTGTAGTATTTTTGTTCTCTGAAACCAAAGTCTTTCATTGCGATTTATCTTTAAAGCTCTCTTATAAAAGAAAGCTCTGGTCAAATCCTACAATACAGTTTCTCTTTACAGCTACACCAATATAAAAGAATGTAAATGTCAGACCTGAAACAAAGTGAGTTTAACACGCAAGTGACTTTAGTACAAGGAAAAGCAAGCCATTATGAAATGTTATTTCTCCAGCAGGTATAAGGAACAACTTTATACCAAGCCATATGTGGGCACTGGCATCATCAATCTCTCTTGCATCATGGAACGGAAAACTCAAGAGTTACTTGTAATGGTCTTTCTTCTGTGCCCATCTTTTGTGACTGTTAACAAGAACTAGGAAATCTCAAATGTCTCCTATATCAGCTTATTATTTTAAGTTTCCATTTCAATGTCATGAGTAGAGAAAACACTTTCCACCTTGACTACATGAAATTATATTTTGATTGGTCTGTGTTCCCTATCTCCAGTCCCTCTCCCATCAAGTCCATTCCGACCATAGTGATGAAAGCAAATATCTTTATGCCCATAATACCCCATCGTAAACTTCTGACTTTTTATGCTGACATCCAGTATCCCAATATACACCTATATTGATTTTTTCTAATCCCAAAATTCAACTAAGGAATCTATTCACAGAATTTCCTTAATGTATGTCAAATATTCCATTTGACATTCTGTTTATGTTGTTTCCTCTGAGTAAACTCCTTCCTCTCTTACCAGTACCAATCCAGATCCAATCCACCCTTCAAGAACCCAAATAAGCACTGCCTTCTCCACATAGTCTTTGATGGATCAATGTAGATCATACTGATCTCTTCCTTATCTGAATTCTACACTTTATTTTTTTCATTTTATGACAATTACATGAGTAGAATGTTATTTATCATTTAATATGTATATATCTAGATTATCCAATGACTTTGTATATTCTTCAAAGTAAGAAATCATTTATTATACTATTTTATCACTCTAACAAAGAGCTTAAAAATAGTAAGCATATAATGGTTTTGATTACTGATAATGAGAACTTGATGTAAAAAGCCAGATGGAATTAGAACTTGGAGATCCAAACGTAGTAATATATATTGCCACTGCGATCTCTACATGAATATTTATTTTAAAACCAAAGTGAAAGGTTTTTTTAGCTAAATTAATAAATGATAAAGCATCTATATTCAAACAACTTTGCTCCTTTAATTAATTCTTAGAGCTTAAGTAGTGTTACTAAATCACTCAAGTTCAGTCTTAGGGTTTAAGAAAACTGGAGCTATCTTTAGAGCTACCTTCTTATCACACACAGCTGGATATACATTAATTATATAGATTTCAAAATATCCAGTAGATTTTTGTGAAGTCATATTTCAAATTCCACATTTCAGCAAGAGCTTACAAAATATGAGAACAGGGAGTCAACTAACACTTTCCCAAAGAAAACATATAAATGGCCAATAGGTACATGAAAAGGTGTTCAACATCACTAACCATGAGGGAAATATAAATCAAAACCACAAGGAGATATTACCTCACACCTGTTAAAATAACTATTATCAAAAAAGAGGAGAGGTGTCATCAGGGAAATACAAATCAAAACCACACTCAGATATCACCTCACGCCAGTCAGAGTGGCCAAAATGAACAAGTCAGGAGACTATAGATGCTGGAGAGGATGTGGAGAAACGGGAACCCTCTTGCACTGTTGGTGGGAATGCAAACTGGTGCAGCCACTCTGGAAAACAGTGTGGAGGTCCTCAGAAAATTAAAAATAGACCTACCCTATGACCCAGCAGTAGCACTGCTAGGAATTTACCCAAGGGATACAGGAGTACTGATGCATAGGGGCATTTGTACCCCAATGTTCATAGCAGTACTCTCAACGATAGCCAAATTGTGGAAAGAGCCTAAATGTCCATCAACTGATGAATGGATCAAGAAATTGTGGTTTATATACACAATGGAATACTACGTGGCAATGAGAAAGAATGAAATATGGCCCTTTGTAGCAACGTGGATGGAACTGGAGAGTGTGATGCTAAGTGAAATAAGCCATACACAGAAAGACAGATACCATATGCTTTCACCCTTATGTGGATCCTGAGAAACTTAACAGAAACCCATGGGGGACGGGAAGGAAAAAAAAAAAAGAGGTTAGAGTGGGAGAGAGCCAAAGCATAAGAGACTCTTAAAAACTGAGAACAGGGGCGCCTGGGTGGCGCAGTCGGTTAAGCGTCCGACTTCAGCCAGGTCACGATCTCGCGGTCCGTGAGTTCGAGCCCCGCGTCGGGCTCTGGGCTGATGGCTCAGAGCCTGGAGCCTGTTTCCGATTCTGTGTCTCCTTCTCTCTCTGCCCCTCCCCTGTTCATGCTCTGTGTCTCTCTGTCCCAAAAATAAATAAACGTTGAAAAAAAAAAAAAAACTGAGAACAAACTGAG